TGTGTCTCCCTCTCTCTCTGCCCCTCCCCCGTTCACGCTCTGTCTCTCTCTGTCCCAAAAAATAAATAAACGTTGAAAAAAATAAAAAAAAAAAATGAACAAACAAACACCAAAGACAAAGAGAGAAAGGAGAGAACCCAGGAATTGTAAAGAAGTTAAGATTACGTGTGTGGGGGAGGGGGAATAAAACCCTTCCCTATAGCCTAAAAGATACCTGTCTGGAAGAACAAGGAACACTTAAATAAACTTTGCTTAAAATAGATAAAGAGCTAGATAAAGAGATACAGACCTATTTATTTCACGGAAGAATTTACACGTAAGCAACCTCCACCTAACTTTGGTTGAAACTAAGCTTTTCCTCCAACAATGTTCTTCACTAATCCCATCCTGTTACTGGCAAGTCAATCACAGGAAGTATTTTTCTATTTTTGCTCTTGGAACTTACCAAGATGGTGCTAATACAGCTCTTGGGACTGCACAGAGAGCTGTTACAGACAGCTGCGAGTTTCGGCAGTATGGTCGTAGCCCACATGTTAGTGCATAAATTTTTCTAAGTGTTATATGTGGGCAGTCTCCAAGCTTAAACACATATGTCCTTACAGAACGTATCTGTAAGCTGGTTATAGGGAATTCCAAACACATTTTGCTGTAGAAATAAAATAAAATTCTATAAAATGGAATCAGGCCTACAGGCCGGCCCACAGAACCCTACTCGATCCACTATGGTCCCGAGGCAGTGTCACAAATGGATGGCTCTGGGCAGAGTTCTGGGTCTGGCTGATAAGACCTTGTAACCCAGAAGCATGAGAGCACAGAGCTGCCTTTATACAGAACTTAGAAAATAGCTGTACTTTTCTCTGGTGCTGCCCACTGTGCCTTGCTGCCTTCTTCCTCTTCCACAAAGGAGACCTCTCTCTCCAGCCTCAGTGTGTCTGTAACCAAGCTGGCCAGACCTCTACCCTCAGCACCTGTGATCTTGAAGCACCCACTTCTCTTCCTTCCAGCGGAGGCTCTTCTCCTAACAAAGCCTCCTCAGCTGAGTGGAGGGAAGGGGAAGAAAGCAGTACCTCATTAAATACATTTGTCCTATCTGTCAGCTATTTCCTAGTCGCCAACTCCTTTCTGGTCTCAAATTCAGTTCTACCAATTTTTTTCTAGGGTCAGTTTTGGCTTTTTACCCCTTCCTTTTCTCCTCTGCCGAAGCTACATAGCTGCTGAATTGCACGTTTTTCATAGCGGTCCTAGGGGAGCTCTGGCAGAGGTTCTGATATCAGTGGGGTGAGGGAGGAGGGGTAGCGCTACGTGAGACTGCCCGAGTCTACGGAAGCACACGCTGTCACTGGGAGCAACCTGGGCTTTGGCCTTCGGAGAGCACATCTGGCAGCCTGGTTGGCTGCAGTCCTTCCATGACGGTGCTTTGGGACGTTGCTGTGCAGCCCATTTCCAGACACCGCCCAGTACTACTGAACAAGAAGCTCTGTGAGTGTTATCAAGTACTTCTATTTTAAAAGTTTTTCCTGAGCCCAGCTTCTTGTTTTGGAAGGACTTTCACACCTCCAACTGCTTAGGGACACCTCTATATAGAGGTCCCACTGGCACTTCAAATCAAAGCTTTAAGAGAAAATGTGCTCAGCTGAGAGACAATTTACTACTGAAGGGAAGAAAGTGGACAGTGGAAAGCCAAGTTCATACATGAACCTTAAGGAATATCTGCCGTCAGGGGATCAGAGGAGGGAATGGGAAAGAACCAAAACAGAGACAGAAAAGGGGCAGGTTAACAGGTTGGCCCTGTAGTCAAAGGAAGACCAAGTTTCAAGGCAGGTTTGGACAGCAGTGTCAAAAGCTTTCAAAAGGTCATTTTTCTTCAAGATAGGCTCCTCACGGGGCTTTCATGTGTCTACCCTTTGGCTCAACACAGAGTAAGCTCTGGCTGTTTTGCCATCATCCATTTGGCACAGACATTTAAATAACCCAGCAGAAGCGAGCAGGGTGTGGGAGCTGAAGGCTTTCATTTTTCTCACGTCTGTTAGGTTTAACTATACATAAAATCCTTTCATTAATATAAAAACAGTAAATTACCTGACTGGCTCCCACTGCTCAATTGCCACACCTCCACTCAGGACCCGAATGACCTTTCCACAGTGTCACTCCTCTGCTTAAATCCCTTCAATGGTTTCTTTTCATTGCATTGTAAATAATACCCAAATCCATAAAGGCCAGAGAGATTCTGCCTGATTTGGCTCTCACCTGCCTCACTCACACTTGCTAGGCCTCCAGTCATACTGCCATTTCTGAGAACTCACCAAGCTTGTTCTTTGCTTATAAAGCTCTTCCTGGCTTTTGGCCTGGTAACTTTCACTTGGCTTCCTTTATATATCATCTCAGAAGTCACTTTTATGACTTCCCTTTACAAATCAGGCCCTTTTTCTATCAGTCTCAGCTACGATACCCTTTTCCTTACTTTATTTCCATTGTCACAATCTGTAATTATTCTAGTTAGCACTTCACTTTTTCTTTTACTATGTGTCTCATTAGAATGCAAGCTTCTTGAGGACAGGGATGTTTCAGACTTATTGTTATATCCCCAGAGTACATAGTACCTGGCATATAGTCAATGCTCAACAAACAACTGTTGACTAAATTACCCAAAACAAGCCATTCATTCTATTTATTGAGTGGATATGTGTCATACTCTGAGGATACAACAGAGGACAAGGAAGACAAAATTTGAAGGTGGCCTAGGACAAAGAAAAAGGACATTTATGTCTAGGAGTAATCCTATGATAATATGTTAACTTACTGATCTGTAAGCACATTTTTATTTCTATTTTTAAAACACAGAAAAACGTATATATCCAGGTGATTGCGTATTTCAAAGCAATCCCCCAAGAAAGTTCTATATTTAGTCTAATGATGCCGTCAATCCTCAAAACATTCATAAGACTGCCGTCTTCAAATTGCAGCCAGAGATAATTTAGTAAGCATAGAAAAAAAATTTAATTTTGATCCTACATGGTATTTCCCAGATTTTCCCTCCATAGTCACTCAACGTGCTTTTACTGAACATACTGATATGGTTTTAAAAAATCAAATTCATCCCTAAAGGGCAAAGATACATCATACAGAGAATATTCTAAAATATTTGCACTTAAGTCAGTCCTCAGAAAAGTGTTCCAGAGATATCTGAACAAAGACAGGATCTTTTCAATGACCACTATAAAGAAGATAGCAGTCATTCAGATAAACAATGAAATCTAATTAATCGGACATCATTAGAAATGGGGTATTTTAGATGATACAGGGATATAAGAAAATTATTCAGATAACCAAAGTTATGAACAGAAGATTTAAACATTTTTTATTTATTTCATGGTATCTTAGGATATATGATTCTGTACTTTTTAAGTAGAGTATATGGCTGATTTTTATCTTTATCACTCACGGTTATCACGATGGTCATCAGTTATAAACCCATGTTATAAATATATAAATAGTTACAAATGTGTGTAGGGTTGTTTCTATCATATATTGGGTCAAATTGCAATGCTTTTAAAGTTTTAGTTTGCATTTATAGTTTTTTTCTCTTCTATGCATGGTCAATCTTTCAGCTGCCATTCCTTCTTGTTATTAGTAAACCTGGCTCTTACAAATTCCCTGCTTATGAAATTGCTGCTTCCAATATGCTATGGGCTGAGCAACTATGTAATTGTGAAATGGTAGAGGTGGTGAGGTGGAATGAAGAGTCATTTAACTATAAGGTATATGATATTTGCAAGAAGCAGATTATTGGTATGGTTGAATCACGAAGAAATGCTGGGTAGCAATCAGCACTGCAGGTGTTCATCTTATCCTGGGATGGACCAGAGATAAGAATTATTCCCCTGTGAACTGGACAGACTCCTCCTAGCCTGAAGTAGAGACAGATAGGACCCAGGGCAAAGAGTTAATGAGAAAGTTCTGAGACAATTAACTTAATTCTAAGCTGCTTGCTAGCCACTCCCAGACTCTTCCTCTGAGGGCAAATAGCTATCCTTGTAAAGAACAACAACAACAACAAAATTATAAATCTTCTAAGTTAGAAACCCAATATGCATAAAATGAAATTAGCAAAACAAAAAATAAACCAAAAAAATTATAGGAAGAATGGAAAACAAACAGCCAATTTTGCCTTTTGTGCGCAGAGAATAATACAAGACAAAAATTCTTGCCCTTATGGAACTTGTGTTCTTTTGGAATATAATAGTTATATCAATAAATGTAAATGGGATAATATCTCCCATTAGACTTCCATATTTGATAAAACCTAATAAAATAAAGCCCCAAAATATATGTTACATTATCAGATATATATTTAAAACAAAAGAATTCAAAAAGAATGAGTACAGACATACCAGGCAAATAAAAACAAAAAGAAAGAAAGAAAGCAGGGTTGAGATACGAAATACAAATAAGGTTAATTTAAAGACAAATTAACTGAGCAACAATATCTAGGATGACTAAATGAACATGCTTTTTACTATCCCTTCACTACTTGAACACCAGAGTTATCTTTGTGGAGAGCCCTCAAGAAGAGGTACTGGTAAATAACAGAGAAGAAAAGTAGGAGCTAATAAAAGGAAAAAGTGATACAAAAAGATGTTTCTCTGTCGCAAAGTGATAGAATCCACCAATTATTGGTCCAGGTGAAATTCGGTAGTATAAGTATCATACATGGTCTTTTCACACATTGATTCTTTTCAATAAAAATCTAACACTAAATACAATGTGGATTCCATCTCTATTTTCACTAGCTATATGACCTTAAGCATGTTCTTTAACCAATTGGGGCTTTAGTTTAATCACTAAAGGAGGTGGTTGCATGTGATGGCCTTTCATGTGAAATATTTCTTTAATCCTGTGATTCTACTGTTATTAGTATATGTAAGACTTTGATATTTCAAATATATGTGGAACATTGACTTAAACAAAATATTTTTGGAAGAAATTATTGTTGACTGCACCTTTCACTTTTCAGCGTTACAACCTCTTCCTTTGTCTTATGCAGAAGAGTTTTGGTTATCTGTAGTTCATTTTCTGCAAAGTTAATTCTTCTTTTTATGTCTTCTTCTTGTCTTTCTTTCGCAGTCAGTTCTTCCTGTAAAGTTTTATATATTTGTTGACAAGCCATTAAAGAATCCTCTTTCTCTTTAAGCAATCTGGTATGCCTAAAATGGAATAGGAAAAAAAAAGTACACATTAGACACTATATTTTTATGTTTATCAAAGATATATGAAAATCTCATTTGAAACTAAAGACTATAATTTTTTAACTTAAAAAATTTTTTTTCACACTAAGAAAATGGAGAATTCTGTGGGATTAAAACTTTCCCATCTAGAAAGAGGCAAAATCAATGAACTTCAAGATATTATAAACTTAAATTAGGTACTCAATGTGTAAATAATACAATAAGAAAAACTAAGTACATTTCAAATAAAATGTTATTTAAAACATGATGTCAAATTTAATTACTAAAAATATTAATTTAAAATTTGCAGTGTATACCGTGACTCAGAAATAATGGATTCAAACTTCAGTTTTCTAAGTTCTCTTTGACAGTCATCAGCTTCATTAGATTTATTCCTAAAATAATATGAAAGAAGTTCAAATATTTTATTTCAAAATAGTTCAAGTATAAATGTTTCCCTTTTTAAAAAACATGTTTTTCCTTTATTACTTTTCTTATTATCTTTATATCCTATTTGTGGTTATATATACATACTTCCTTGAAGTTAGAAATATATAGTTAAGGGTTTTTTTTTCTTTGCCAAAAAAATTACTTGTAGTCCAACAATGTGTTTTTCTATATCATTTTATTTATCCGTAAAAAGAAATTTCTTAGCATATTTATATTATTATTTCTTTAAAGAAATAAACATTCAGGCCACTGCTATAATTGCTAAGTAGGCTCCTATCAGACTGATCTGCACATAAATAAAAAGTCTAAGCTTTGGACAACATTAAAAAGAAAAGCCCCTGTTTGAAAGCATTGAAAAGTGAACAAAAGCAAGAAGATTCTGGAGGGAAGTTGACACCTTGAATGAGGTGACAGCATCGGGGTCAGATTTTCAAACCTGAGTCCCCAGTCTGCACCATGCAGAGGAACTGACATTCTGATAGAAAACACACTCAATCTGGCCTAAAGAAGGAGAGTACAGTGTTAGGGTCAACCATAATTGCTAGAAAGTTAGGAGTGAATCAAAATAGGAGAGAGCCAAAGACAGAGAGTCCCAATACTACATAAAGACGCTACCCACACATCTGGCTGAGCCCTGAACTAAAAATGCACAGGGCAGACTCCAAGCAGCCTAAGATAAAAAAAAAAATTAGAGATTTGAGCTGTTGCCCTAGAGACAGAGTTTACAGTCTAAAGCCAATCAAATTAACTGCCTGCTTAAAGCAACACTACTCCTACTCCCACCAATAATAGTATTTGGAGAAATATAACAGAATCTAGAATTTCTATAACATAATATTCAGAATGCCCCGAATATAATGAAAATTACTCAATGCAGGAAGAAATAGAAAAGCATGACCTATTCCCAGGAGAAAAGACAGTTAATAGGGACTACCTCTGAGATGACCCAGATACTGAAATTAGCAGGCAGGGATTTTTCAAAGAGCAGTCACAACTCTGCTTAAAGACATAAAGAAAAATCCACTCTAATTAGTGAAAAGATGATAAATCTCAGCAGAAAAACAAACCCTTAAAATGAACCAAATGGAAATTCCAAAACGGGAAATAAACATATGTCTTCATTTTATATAATTGGCTTTTATAACAATACTAAAAAAGTTAATATATTAAGAAAGAGTAATATCCCAGTTTAAGTTTGTGTAGGCTGCTTATTAATAAGTCATTATCTGAATGTACCTTAAAATAGCCTATAAACTGTACAATGAAGTATGTTTGTTAGATTGTCAATAAGTTTGCCCTACTTGCAGAGTGACTTTAATTTCTAGTAAGTAATTGTTTGTATCATGAACATGAACAACATTAATTTATTTTTAAACCACTTTTATTATAAATATGATAAAATTATAAGCAATAGAGAACTGCATGAAATAATTACATAATGAATTGTTATATGGAGAAAACTCCTATAACTACCATTCATGTAAAAACATAAAACCTGACCAGCTACCCTAGAAGCTTCATGTCCCTGGTCCCAATCATAGCTAACTCCCTCCTCTCCAAAATATCCATTTTCATGAATTTTGTGGTAATCACTTTGATTTTCTTTAGAGTTTTATTACCCAAGTTTTATCTTTGAGCACTATATTTTAGTTTTACTTTTTCTTTTGTAAAAATGTCTTTTTAAAACATTTTATTTCCTTTATTACCTGTTTTTTGAAAACTAGATTAAGGTATTGTATTGACATACAATTAAGTGCATATACTTTGATATGTCTGACATATGTGTTAAGGCCATGAAACCATTACCAGAATCAAGCAGCACATGAGCATATGAGCATACTCAGAACTTACATCTTGGTCTCTAAGGCCATTCCTATACAAAGGAAACAGGGCTACTCAGAGAATGGCTGATTCCAAGGCTGGAGCAGAGTAAGTATATCTGAAATATCTTGTTATGCCACAAGGTAAGGAAGTGCTCATAAAAGATGATGAAACCAGGTTCCATTGTCACAGGAGGCAGCTTGAAGGGGCTCCTACTGGCTAAGCCTAGACAATGTGTGTATCAAAATAATTAAGTACAGTAATAAATTATAAACCATTGAAAAAATGAATGAATGAATAAATAAATATATTAATAATAAGAAGAGAGGCTCTTGTTTAAAATAGGATGCTGAGAACTAATAAATGGAGAGGGATGGCTGGAGTCAGAAAAATCATCATTTAGAAATCACTGTGGTAAAGTTTAGATAAGGCAAAAGTCATTAATGGATGCTACATCTAGGGATACATTTTGGTGAGGAGGAGAGTATATGTATTTAAGATGTCTCTTATAGACACTTACTAACTGGAAGGGAACCAAAAACCCAGGAATAATACACTGAACAAAGTGAGCAATACCTTCACCAGGTGATCAAAATTAACATCACCAAATGAGGAGCAGGCAGACGTTCATACCCTGAGAAGGACACCTCCCCACATATGTCGTTTTCTGGCTGAGAGTACATATTTTTAATCCAATCAAGAGGAAACATTACACCAATGTAAATGAAAAATTTTTATTTCAAAAAAGTTTGACAGGTTCTGCGTTCTTCAAAAAAAATGTCAGTGTCATAAAAAGACAAAGATAGACTAGAAATATTCCAGAATTAAGGAGGTTCAAGAGACATGCCAAATAGGTTGACTCTACCTGGTCTTGTACTAGAGGAGAAAATACTACAAAGACCAACTAATAAAATTAGAATATGGGTGGTAGATTAAAGTATGTAATTTTATGACACGGTATAACTGTCCTTATGTAAAGTATCACTGAAAGTGAGGCTGGAAAGTCAGACTGAAGTATTTAGAGGTAAAGGGTCATGTTATATGTAATTTATCCTCAAATGGTTCAGGAAAGACAACTGTGTGTGTGTGTGTGTGTGTGTGTGTGTGTGTGTGTGTGTGCGTGTGTGTGTGTGTGTGTGTGTGTGTGTGTGTGTGTGTGTAGAGAGAGAGAGAGAGAAGGAAGGGGGGCAAGGAAAGGTGAGGAAAAAAGCAAATGGGTTAAAATGTTAATCTGGATAAAGGTCATTTGGGTCCTCTTTGTAATACCATTATGTTTATAACTTTTTGTTAAGTTTGAAGTTATTTCTGAGTAAAACATTAGAAAAGAAAGAATAAGGAAAAGATTGACATGCCATTAGAAAGTGGGCAAAGATTATGACCAGGTGAGTCACAAAGGAAAGAACACAGAGTAGAATATGCAGGAGTAAAATTTTTCATCAACTAGTATTTTTTAAAGTTATTATGCCCACTATGAGCTAGTGGGTATGAAATGGTTATTTACAAACACTGCTGAGAATAAAATTAGTATAATCTTATTGGAAGGCAATGAATCATTAAGCATTAAAAGCCTTAACATTATTTAAGTTTGATTCAAGCAAAATTATCCAAAGGAAATACATGTGAGTAGAAAGATTTACTTATATGAATTTCAAAGTACCCTGTTTATAAAAATGAAAAATTTAGAAATTCTAAAAAACAAAAGCTTAGTAAGCAAGTTATAATTCATCCATAGATTGGAATACTATACAGCCATTTCATAGTTATCTATAAATGTGGGGTGCCTGGGTCGCTCAGTTGGTTAAGTGCCCAACTCTTGATTTTGGCTCAGGTCACGATGGTTAGGGAGACGGAGCCCCATGTTGGGCTCTGTGCTGACAGCACTGAGCCTGCTTAGGATTCTCTCTCTCCTTCTCTCTCTCTGCCCCTCCCCTACTCACACGTGTGCTCTAAATAAATAAATAAATAAAATGAAAAATTATAAAAAAAATAGTTCTCTACAAATGTATTGTGTAATGACATGGGTATATCACTAAATGAAAACATGTTAAAAATATACATTACTTAGAAAAAGTAGACTTTAAGAAAAAGTCCTTAGAAAAAAGGACTATAAGGATTTATCAAAATACAACTATAATTTTCGTTTTTGTATATTCCTGTCTTTTCCAAGTTTTATATATTTGCTTTGAAATAAAACAAAAATGTTTCTTTAAAAAATGCTTTGAGCACAGGGTAATGTATGGAAGTGCTGAATCACCATATCTACACCTGAAACTAATGTAACACTCTATGTTAACTAATTGGAATTAAAATTAAAACTTTAAGAAATTCTTTGAGGTTAGCAGCCCCACCATGAGATTCACTCTATGTTCAGACTCACGTACAATTTTTCAAATCCAGAGGCAAGGATAGCAGTTCTTTCAATGGTTATTTTGCTAACTCTGTGGACAATTAATCTAGGGAGCCTACCATCCCAAGGACTCCCCTCACCATGATCAGCTCTCACCCCCATGCCAGTTAAACCATTCTTTCTACAGTCCATCCTTCACAACATAATTGTTCTCTTCATCTCATTAGGATGGGGAGAGGGAGAATTGGAGGGAATAGAAAGAAAGCCTACATCTCTTTAAACACTGCATTCCTTCTGTTAATCCTTTCTCTTAAACTGCTTTGAATAAGCCTTTAGAAAGGCTTCTGCTACCCCCGTCAATCATTGTAAAGGAAATAAGGTGAAATTACTGTATATTTTTCTTGATTTGAAAGGCAAGTTTCCATACCATTCCACTGCTTCATATGAAAGAGCCATTCTCAAACTGTTTCCTTGATACTTGCACTTTGCTGTCCAAAAAGCATTCCAAATCTAATACATCAAAAGCATAGTTTTTCTTATCTCCCTCACCCCATATCTATTTCTTTTACAGATTATTCCACTTCAACAAACGATACCAACACAATAATGATATTAAAAGGGTAGCACTTATGTATCTCATGCTACCTCAAGGCAGCCCTTACTTCCTTGTTACAGTTGAGAAAAGAGACTAGAGAGAGAAATAACATGCCCAAAGTAACATAACTACTAGGTAGTAATGCTGGCAGCAGTCTGGATCCGGAGTCTAGGCTCTTAGTCACTACACTCTACTGTCTCTCAATTGTCTACCCTAATGTTGAAAAATCCCCAAATCTCACCCTTCATTCTTTCCTTCCCAGTCCTCTTGCTCCCCAGTCACATCCACTCCACCAATAAATCCTGGCAGATTAAGCCGGCATATATTTCTCTCCATCTCCACACTATAGCCTTACAGTCAACCAGTCACTTCTCACTTGCGTGAACGTGCGCCATCCCACCTAGCCTCACTGATTACTCTTGTACCCCCACTCCAGTCCTCTCTCCAGGTAGCTGCCATGTCCACCTTTTAAAACAAATCACATCAGTTCACTCTCCTGCCAAACATCTTCTAATAGTTTCCCATTGCCCTCCACATAAATCCAAAATCCTCACTAAGCTCTGAACACACTGGTGTATTATTTTCTTATTGTTGCTGTAACAAATTGCCACAACCTTAGTGGTTTAAAACAACACAGACTGATTATCTTACAGTTTTCAGGTAAGAAGTCCTAACATCAAGACATCACACGGGCTGTGTTCCTTCTGGTGGTTTTAGGGGAAAATTTGTGTCCTTGACTTTTCTAGCTTCTAGACACCACCATACTTCCTTGGCTTCTGCTCCCTTTGTCTACCTGCAAATCACAACATTTCAAATATTGCTTCCATCTTCACATCTACTTTTGTGACTTTGACCGCCTTTTTTTCCTCTTATAAGGACTTTTGCAATGACATCTGGCTTGCCTGAATAGGATAATCTCCCTCTCTCAAAAGCCTTCATTTAATCACAGGTGCAAAGTTCCTTTTGTCATGTAGAGTAACATGCTCACAGATGAGGACATGAAAATCTTTGGGAGCCATTATTCTGTCCACCACAACCGGCCTTCCTCATGTCTTGAACTTGGTCATCAAGTTCACCTGGCCTTCCTCATGTCATCAGCTTTTAAAGCTTTATTAACACTCTATCACTTTAACAAGCATTACTGACTACCTTCTGGACATGACTACAATTTTCTTCCTGGCCATAGAGCCCATTATCATCTTCTTTCAGGATAAATCTTGCTTGGTCTAAACTAATTGTGGTAGTCTTGTTCCCCTTGCCAGTGATTATTTAGGAGAGGGTATGCAAAGGGTTCCGCCAAAGAGCTGTAAAGAGAGGGCTGTTTGATGGCTTCTGGGAAAATTTTTTTCTCACTTCTAAGGAGACACCAGAAAAACAGGCCCTTCCTGCCTCTGGGCTGGTTACATTTGGATGTGGTACCTGGAACTGCAGTCATCTCATAATCACAAGGGACTTAGGCTTGAAGTGAAGCCAGTGCTAACGACAGCAGGATGGAGACAGAAAGAACATCAAGATCCAAGATGATTTAGCCACTCAATCGACTAAACCTGAAACCACTCTACCTCTTGTTACTTGTAGCTCAACATCTTTACTGATTAAATCTGTTTTCAAATATATAACAAGTTCTTACAAACCTTGGAAAATATTTTCTTATAAATCTTAGGAAAAAAAGAACTTGTAAGTTCATCCATTTAAAAACTGCCTCTTTCCCTTAAGTAAAAATCCACAAAACTGATATCCAAACATTTAAAAATCTTGAAACAAAAAAACTATCCTAAGTTGGATAGGTGAAAATGATCTCCGCTTCTAGCCCCCACAAAGGAGAGGATTAAAAATTTAAAGAAACTTTATTTCACAGCACCTCCAATTTTTGGAAGTTCAAAAAGGTTTGGATATAGATAGTAAATCTCCAATTTATTAACAAATTGTACATGGAAAATTTTGAGTGAATTCTTTTGACTTCTGGACACCTCCTGAGCTCTGAGCTGAACAGTCTTAGCTCTGATCCTACATGCCCACCCGACTCTATCCTCATAGTAAAGGAGGGTAGATGGAGTAGAGATGGAAAAGCCAGATACAGTCAGCATAAAGAAAGGTCTCCCGCAACTGGGGCCATTTAAGCAGTTCTTTCATAACTCAATTTTTAAAAAATGGATACTCTGCCCATTTTCTAATTTTAAGAAGTTCTTATAGGGGCACCTGGGTGGCTTAATCGGTTGAACATCTGACTCTTGGTTTCTGCTTGGGTCATGATCCCAGGGTTGTGGGATCAAGTCTCGTGTCAGGCTCCACGCTAAGAGTGGAGCCTGAGATTCTCTCCCTCTCTCCTTCTGCCTCTCTCCCCTGCTTGTGTGCTCTCTCTCATTCTCTCTCTCTGTCTCTCAAATTAAAACAAAAAAGTTCTTATATCAGCAGGAAGCATCAGTTTTAGAAACTGAAACAAAAGTATCAGCATTTCTGCAATTGTATAGTGATTTCCTCCAGGTAATTTATTTGATGGACTTTAGTGAGGTGGTATTTCTCACTCCAACTCCAATCTACTCTGACTCTTATTTCTCAGCACTTACATTATAAATTATGTTAAAAATATAATTAATAAAAAAACCACAAAGCATGTGTCAATATTAAATGGGAATGTTCCTTATATATATAGAAAATTCTGTGCCAATTTATCCAGTAAAAATCAATTCATGTCACAACCCATGAGCTTTATTCTTTTTCCTCAGTATGCTTATTTCTGTAGTTATCTTCTCTCCCAACTTGCCAGGACTCCGTTCCATATGCTGAGTCTTGATGGGTCCATAAATTCCCTTTTAATTTAGTTAGGTACGAGCCCAACTTTTCTATTCCTGGAATGTGCCTTCGTCACTTAACTGAGCTACAAGAAGCCGAAGTCACACAGTAGCTGTGGCCTGAGTAGGTTGTCCTCCACATGAGGCATCCATATGGCCAAAGCCCTTCCTAATGTTACTAGAGGGTGGGGAAGAATGATTCTTTCTTTTTCCTTCTTTCTTTCTTTCTTTTCTTTCTTTCTTTCTTTTCTTTTCTTTTCTTTTCTTTCTTTCTTTCTTTCTTTCTTTCTTTCTTTCTTTCTTTCTTTCTTTCTTTCTTTCTTTCTTTCTTTCTTTCTTTCTTTTTTGCAATCACCATCTTGCTTCTCTTTTTTATGCTTGTTCTCATCCAGAAAGTTGCTTCCTGGGCTCAGCGAGTCATCCAAGGACCTCCTGTCACTCATTCCTTCAACCCTAGCCATCATATACAGATGGCAGAACTACTATATTTACTGTACTATTAATCACAGTGTTATAAAGCTTGAATATTTGTTTTTTCTTGTTTTTCAAAACCAAATTATTTTGCTACAAATAATTCACATATACATCACTTTGGTAGGGTATTTTCGAATTTGTTCTTCCTTGTGCTGCTAAGAATTTTATTAAACACATTGCTCTTAGGAGTAGTTCATAGTGAACACAACAGTTGGTTGCTAAGCATTCTAAATATTTATATTTCTTACGAGATTCATTCTTCCAAAATATAGGAACTGAAAACCAGAGCTATCAGATTATATACCACAAAGAAAACAAAATCTATTTTTCAAAGATTACACAAATTCTATCTTAGTGCTATAATTATAGATGTATGATATTTATACCATAAAGTAATTTTTGAAACTTCTGTTCTAAAAAAGTTAGTTCTCTGGATATTTTACAAGGGCATTTTCTTATCAGTTGTTTTCCAATATTTTCTTTCTCATTTATATAAAGTGGAAGTATACTCCAGCATTTCAAAGATACTCAAAGATACTTCTTCACAAGATACTATGTTTTTGAACTTAAAATTGGTAATTTTAAGAAACAACTTAAAAGTTGTTTCTTCTGGATAGATAAGAGAGAGAGAATGTGAAGAGACAAAAGTTAGAGAATATTTCACATTAAGTTACGTTTGAACAACCAGGGAAACCTTTAATACAAGAATAAGTTAAGTCTCTTACTGAGGGAAAGAAACATTTCATGTATTTAAAAATATTTACAGATCCTTTAATATACAACATACGCCAGAAAAGTACCTGAGAAAAGCAGGAGACCACACTCACACAACTAAATTACTGCCAAAGAGTCACAGAGAACACGTGGTAGGTGTGGGGGAGGATCTTTCTAAAAATTTTACAGGTTGTTCAATGTTCATCTTACATGAGCTTTTCTTTATAGTTGTCAATCTCTGTCACTGCCTTCTGATGTTTTAGACCAAGTGCCTCTACTTGACATTGTAAACCTGAAATGACACAATATATTCATCTGATTAGCACATTCTAAATGTCCAGATATTTTCATAGTGTAAACCATATTCTTTGAGAATTGCCACTCAGCTCCTGCAGCATACTGCCGCTGTTTACTCCACTTTGCCTGGGTATGCAGCTCATCTCTTCTCTGAAACCCCACGGAATTAATAGTTTTTGACAGAGCCAATTTATTGGCCTCTTTCTGCCCCCATCATCTTGCTAATTTTCAAACACCCAATGGCCTAAATTTTACTGATGATTTGAAAGGAAATGTATGTAGCTGACACACATATGTTGATGTGATCATGTGGCTCATCTCTGAAACACGTGACTGCCTGAGCTTGCTTTTGTGGTCTGGAACTGAGAAGTATCGCTGAGGCCTCCTGGCAGAACTGAAATAGACAAACCATGTGCATTGCTCCCGGTAAAGAATTTGTTAACTCTGGGTAGCATCTAATAGGCATTTTAATGACTTTCAAAGCCAAGATATACAAGCAGGAAATTGGCTTCCATAGTCTGGGGAATTCAAGCAGCGTTTGAGGAAGATTATTCACACAGCGGTGTCTAACGTGTGTGGATGCAGAACTGAAACTAAAGCAGAAAGAATAAATGGCTTGCATGAAGTGGGTCTTGCCATTAGCCTGTGTGTGGGAACTATGATCTGAACCCCCGATGCAATGACAGCCCTTGTCGGCACTCTTTTTGAGTAGGGTAGAAAACACACTGACACAAATGGACTAACTGGTTTCTATGGAGAAGATAATTTAGCACACTGGAATTATAAAATTTCTATGTTATAGCTGCTCAGATGTTTTAATAACATATTTTTAATAGTAAACTTTAAAATCTTTATGCATCCATACACTTCTCTATATATCCTCAATCTGCCTTCTTAACTTTGTTTTATGAAGAAAAGCTTAAAGCAGAAAACAAATTCACGCTAAATGAATGTTTTAATTAAGTATTTTCCAGACATGAGTATAAATCTTTATGTTTATCCAGTACTTTCACATACATTATTTAATTTTATCTCTCAAACTTCTCTCTGGTGCAATAAGCCCCATTTTTCAAATGAGAATAAAAGGAGAGCTTCTCTGATTCTCTTGCCTGGTATCTTCCAATGAATAAATGCATTAGCCAACAGTTTAGACTGAAGGTTTTTAACTCAGCCTAAGTTATCAATTTGAGAGGATAACCCCTCGAAGTAAGATTTAATATGGACTTACATGGTAGATAATATTTGTGGGGTACATCTTTCCCAGTGATTGAGTGATTATATGAAGGAAAAGATAACATACAGATAATTTATTTTTGAGTACAACCTTCTGGAACAAAGCAATTTCTCATGAATGTTACACAATGTATTGCTTTGTTATTAAGTCCATATGGATTTGCAGAGAGGTTCTATTCACAACGACACAGCCAAAAGATTTCAACCAAATCCTCTGAAGAATAAGGAGGGAAAGAGGTTAATGTTTGTTGATACGCACTATGTGGCACTAGGAAAAATGCTTTCTCCCATATCATTTCATTCATAGTCACAGCTACCATGAAAAACAGGTACGCATTTTATTTCTACCAGTGAAGACTCTAAGGACCTGAGTAACTAACTTATCAAAGGTCACATAACTAGTTAGAAGTGATCCTGTGATTCAAACTCAGGTTGAACTCATCCCAAAGTCCTTATCTTTCTAACTCTCCTACATGGACTCTAAAACTATAAAAGCTGCAAGGGGATATGATATTTGTTCATGAAAGTATGGCTAGTGTAGCTATAGATCTATTTAACATATCTAAGAATCTTCCAAGAGAGATACTTAACAAATGAAAAGTATTATTTTGCATAAAATACATAGTAAATTAGTAGAATATCTAACCCCAGGAGGTGGTTTAGATTTAATTTTTTTTCATTTTTTTTTAACGTTTATTTATTTTTGAGACAGAGAGAGACAGAGCATGAACGGGGGAGGGGCAGAGAGAGAGGGAGACACAGAACCGGAAGCAAGCTCCAGGCTCTGAGCCATCAGCCCAGAGCCCGACGCGGGGCTCGAACTCACGGACCGTGAGATTGTGACCTAAGCTGAAGTCGGACGCTTAACCGACTGAGCCACCCAGGCGCCCCAGATTTAATTTTTGAAAATTCAAAATTTAATATAATTAATGAAAGATATTAAGACAAATATGGTATCATTGTGACCAATTTTATGTGTCTGACACCAGAGAGAACTATTATGCCTTCTTATTAATGTCCTTTGGTGCTTCTGTCAGGACATAAACTAGATAAAGCATGGGTCTGAGCCCATCTAATAAACTTCATGCTATCACTCCTAAGTACAGCTATTATTAAGAGGAAGAATTGATTATCTTGAAAACAAACTCCAGGTAATTGGTATAGATATGTGAATTTTATCCAGTTCTCAATTACCTGCTAATTAGTAGAACAGTAGATAGTAAAAATGACAGCATGTTTACAGCACTGGAAAGTATTCTTAAGATTACATTTGAATATACTTGTGCATCATAGTTCCAGAATTTACTAAGTTTAAGGGAAAATAAACTACAGTCATGACCCACTATACTTTCCAGTATTATTTTCTCTGCATACCCACCCGAATCTCCCTTTCTCCCTGTTTCAAGATAAGCATAGACAGCTTAGTCTAATTCACAGTGCCTGATGAGCAAAGAAGCCACTTCCTTTAGACAATTTACTATGTATTTACAGCATCTTTGAGTCAAAACAGGGAAAAGAAATAAACATTTTACTCCACAACACAGAAACTATAGAAGGTTGCCATGTGAAGTAAGTAGTAACAGAAAATACAAGTAGTGTCAACAAAGAAATCACTTTATATAAACAGAGAAGATACACACAGAATTGAGGAAAGAAAAGGATTCATTATGAATAATCCATAATGTAAACAGACCAGCAGTGTATAATTAAGAGTTAATATATTTTCATGGATGTTTTTTGTTGTTATTGTTGTTGCTTGGTTTTACTTTTGGTTACATTTTCTCTAATAAAGAAGTTCTAAGAATAATTTTGAAAACGCACAGAACCTGTCTTCACTGTTCTGAATGAGAAATAAACATACTATTAGTTTATTATTGGTTCTGGTAGACTAGTAGGGCTGTTTTGTTTTTGGAAGCAGAGTCCCCAGTTCCTGTCCTTAATAAAGGAGCACAGTTAGGATAAGAACCAGAAAGATTAAGCCACCTGCACAAGACCGCTCCTTCAGTTCCTGAGACAAGGAGTTCTTAAATAAGTGTATTGTTCTGTGCAGTCCTTCTCTATAGTGAAATAAATTCAACTTCAATTTTCTGTCATTCAGCATGACATTGGATTATGAGGCAAAAGGCCCTAAATGCCTACAAAAAGAAAGGAAGCATTGGCTTTAAACACCATGCAGATGTAAGGCGGAACCCATGGAAACAATCCAAAATTTACAACAGCAAATTCTACTATGATGTGACTGCATTCTTTAGAGATATTAAATAAGAAGCAAATGATTTTAAATGAACAAGACAAAAAAGAGCTCTTAGCCTCTCTTCATACGAAGCCAGCTGCTTGCTGGATAGCATTACACAGGCATCAGATTTGGGGTAATTAGTCATTTAAGAGAATGCTGTTATTCCAAAAGGTTTCTAGAAACTACAAATACAAAAGGTATTCATAGTTATTTTATAGAAGGATAGAAAACATTACAGTCACTTGGGAGAGTATATTCAGTATAATGTTTGAGAAAACAATAAATAGAAACTTCATAGTGGAAAGATATTTCAAGTTTAAAGCTTTCTGGATAAATACAAAAAAAAAAAATCTGGTTCAAAGTGGAGGAAACTGAGTTTAGGTTCAAGAAGCAGAATGACATGGTGCCTGGGTGGCTCAGCCAGTTAAGCATCCAACTTTGGCTCAGGTCATGATCTCACGGTTTGTGGGTTCAAGCCCCGAGATGGGCTCTGTGCTGACAGCTTGGAGCCTGGAGCTTGGAGCCTGCTTCGGATTCTGTATCTCCTTCTCTCTCTGCCCCTCCCCCACTTGTGTTCTGTCTCTCTCTGTCTCTCAAAAATAAATAAATGAAGAAAAGAAGAAGAGGAAGAGAAAAAAGAAGAAAAATGAAAAAAACAAATAAGCAGAAGAATTGGCCCCCAGAGATCCAGATCTAGGGGAATTTTTTTTAACGAGAAATTGAAGGTTGTGTAATTTTTTTTTTAAATGGTAGAGATAACTGAAGGAAAGGAAAAACAAAAGTTTATCATTGTTTATACACTCTTTTGATAGGGTAACATAAAAGTGTAGAGCATGACCTCTAAAGCCAGACTGCCTATTTTCAAATCCTGGTTCTGTTTCTATGAGCTGTGTGACTTTAGGTACTTTAGTTTCCTTACCTAGAAAACAGTTACTGCAGCACAGGAGTGAGAATTAAGACTTAATTAATATATGTAAACAGGAGAACAGTAGCAGGCACGTAGTGAGCACTCCTGAACTGCTATCTCTTATCATTGGTGGTACCAGTGAGACCATCTGGCCCCCAACCTCACTTCCACTCTGAATCTCATCACTTTTCACCTTGAGGACCTTGTCCTTGCAGGTGTCATCAGTGCTTATCCTTGGATGGAGAAGGGTAAAAATGAAGGTTTTATAACAACCTACAGAGTTACTACGGCCATATGTTAAAACTTGTTAAATGTGGGTGACAGATTCACTCACATTTGTTATATTATTCTCTGTATTTTTGTTTGACATATGTAATGTTACTTATACATATAAATATATATAATTTAAATATTTTAAAAATATAACATTTAAATATTTGTATAAATATAAATATATATATAATCTATATAGTGCTGTTATATTATTCTCTGTTTTTTTTCTGTTTGACATACATAATGTCATTTATATATGTAATGTGTATATATAGTGCTGCATATATAGTTTAGAGACAGGTCTTGCTTGTATGGTCAAGGATGATAGCATGCTCTGTACAAAGGA